AGAACAACTACAACCACGTAACACAAACAGCACTCACGGTTCGTTACGTAACAGAACAACTACAACCACGTAACACAAACAACACTCACGGTTCGTTACGTAACAGAACAGCTACAGCCACGTAACACAAACAGCACTTACGGTTCTTTACGTAACAGAACAACTACAACCACGTAACACAAACAGCGCTCACGGTTCCGGTTGATAAAAATATTAAATACTTCCCAGAATATTCTAAATACAAAATTTTCACGTTCTCAAAATGCCTTACGTCTCAACTGAAATTTTCAACATTTTACACACATAATTTGCTTGAGATTTAGTTAAGAAAATTGAACACACTTGCTGATTAACAATTTCTTACTGTTGTTGTTGTTAAGGCTGTTGAATATTGTCGGACGATATTCTATGTATTTCATTGAACAGACTTGCTAATTAACAATTTCCAATTGTTGTTGTTGTTAAGACTGTTGAATATTGTTGGACGATATTCTATGTATTTAATTGAACACACTTGCTGATTAACAATTTCCAATTGTTGTTGTTAAGGCTGTTGAATACTGTTGGACGATATTCTATGTATTTAATTGAACACACTTGCTGATTAACAATTTCCAATTGTTGTTGTTGTTAAGGCTGTTGAATACTGTTGGACGATATTCTATGTATTGAATTGAACAGACTTGCTAATTAACAATTTCCTATTGTTGTTGTTGTTAAAGCTGTTGATATTGTCGGACGATATTCTATGTATTTAATTGAACAGACTTGCTAATTAACAATTTCCTATTGTTGTTGTTGTTGTTAAGGCTGTTGAATATTGTTGGACGATATTCTATGTATTTAATTGAACAGACTTGCTGATTAACAATTTCCTATTGTTGTTGTTGTTAAGGCTGTTGAATATTGTTGGACGATATTCTATGTATTTAATTGAACAGACTTGCTGATTAACAATTTCCAATTGTTGTTGTTAAGGCTGTTGAATATTGTTGGACGATATTCTATGTATTTAATTGAACACACTTGCTGATTAACAATTTCCCATTGTTGTTGTTGTTAAGGCTGTTGAATACTACTGGACGATATTCTATGTATTTAATTGAACAGACTTGCTGATTAACAATTTCCAATTGTTGTTCTTAAGGCTGTTGAATATTGTTGGACGATATTCTATGTATTTAATTGAACAGACTTGCTGATTAACAGTTTCCTATTGTTGTTGTTGTTAAGGCTGTTGAATATTGTTGGACGATATTCTACATATTTTACATCAACAAAATTATGGAACAAATCCAACAATTAATAATTATATAATGTTTTAATAATAAGCTCAACACACGGAAAGATTAATTACGATTTTCTAAACGTTTTTTTTTTCTTTTATGTAGTCACGTGCTGTTGACTCAGAATTAATAAATTTTAATTTGTTACTTGGTGGAACAAACGATCACACCGAGTTTGTATAAAAGTAAAGTTAACTATTAACAGCAATCTTGGGATACTATAAACTACTTGTGGAACTTGACTACCACAATTATAACGCACCCGCAGCACCAAGTTACGGAGCGTGATTTTGAAGTTAAAGGACATGAATTATGGACCCTCGGACTTGCGATTGGGCAGGCTAACAACTAGGCCACGCCTAAACCCCATCCACGAAGTGAAGGTTGCGGTTATCATAGAGAACCCTCCAGCCCAAAAGCTTATTGTGATCATGTTTGTGTATGTGTGTGTGTGTATACACAAATACACATACATCTAATTGTACTATTAACAGGATATTAAACAAATATTTCAAGTTCATCCGTACCTTGATATTAAGCATGAGAACAATAGCTAAACAAACTGAATCTACAGTTTCACATACCTGTCAAGATTTCCATATGAACTTTGGTCTGCTTTAACTTGGTATTAGAACCCCGATGTCTACATACAGTAGAGGGTGCATGGAATGTTATCGAGCTGTGTGGTCCAAGACTGACCTCTCTGTCCTTCGAAGATTGGTTGGTTGGTGTTTTATGGCGCAAAGCAGCTAGGCTATCTGCGCCAAACAACCGGTAAAAGCAATGAAAGTAGATTAAAGTAAAATGTAAAAAAAAAATAACAGCAAGTTAAAATTCAATAATGTCGGTAAAAGATTTATATAGAATTAAAAAGATGTATAGTGTGTAAAAAATTAAAAATACAATCTATATATGAACAGGTTATAAGCCATACACCTTAAAAAAGCAACAATAGATGAACAGGTTATAAGCCAT